AAGCAGGATTGCTTTTTTATTATTATTGCAGCATTTGATATTACTACTTGCCTTAAGGAATGGATACAAGATCCATCTCCTGGGGTTTCTAGGAAAAGCTTTCAAAATAAATAATAAATAGTAACTGTTTGTGAACCAATCAATGGTGAGGAAAAGAAGGATGATGAAAGTACAATACCAAGTTGTGCATCTGCCCTAAATTATTGAAATTAAAGACAAAGATAGTAAAGTATTCAACTTTTTACAGCAATTTGGCTGCACTCATATTTTATCATTTGCTGTAACAGAGGTCAAATTTTCCAGTTGCATAATGTCATGGAGTATAGCAACGGATTACACAAGCAAAAATGTTTAATTGCTATCATGTACACATGAAAATAAAAAATTACACTACTCTTTCATTCAAATCATGAGACTGACTCAAATTTACCAATCATTAGCATTAATTGACTGCGATTCAAATCAAAGAGCAACAGCTGCATCCTGTTTTCTAGGCTTTGGGGAGGGTGATGTTTTTGAAAATAATAAATTTGCATTCACACAGTTCTTATTTTTAAACATCAGAAGGAATCAGTCAAAACTGTGGACCACTGTGCAAGCTGTGCATACCCTGCTTCCTTTTTTTAATAAGTATTGTGGCAGTGGCAACGTTACAAGAGCAGTCACAGAGCACTGTGACACAGCGAGATCAGCACATCAGCAGTGACAGGACAGGGCTTCCTTTCAGAAGGAACAATTACAGGTTCACATGAGCTGATAGCCCCAAGTAGGCTGCACAACACAAAGAACTGGGCACAGACTCTAAGGGATGCTAAACCCCAAGAGCTGGCACGCTAATCTCAGGAAAACTTTTGATGAGCAGCACATGTGAAAGCTTAACTTTGAATTCCAGGAAGATTGACTCAGCCCTTCCTTCTTCCAGGATGGATAAATGGGGAGGTTCATGCAGCTCACCACACAGGTATCTTTGAAGCAGAACATTAAAAACCTGGTGGCTGATCTACCCACAGCAGATATTTCAGATTTTACAGCAATCCCTAAAAGCAGAACTTTACTCAAATACACCTGCAGAAAGAATTTTCCTTCCACCTATGTTGTTGTGCAGAATTTTCCACCCAGTCAATTTCCACAGTGGATGAAATGGTCCCTTAATACACCGAGACTCCAGTAAGAATTACTTCAGGTCACGGTATATTTTTCCCTGATTGGTTTCCTCCAAATGCACTTGGACTACAGTAATGCAGAGGAATACAGGAATCACTGCCAGCTCAGCCCATTGTCTCACTCTCTTCTGACAAAGGTCAGCACTGAATACTTCAAGAATGATTTTGACAGACAGCTTTTGAGGGCACATTCACCCATAAAAACACATTATTATCTTTCCATCAACAGCCAGTAACATCCTGAAACCCACTGTCTTTCATAACTCTACCTAACTGGAAGACAAACAACATCTGGTTTTTTTAATTTAATAAATGTAATCTTTATTAAAAATAATAATAATACTAAAACAACCTGCTGCTCTCTTGGTGTCAATGATTTTCAGCGGCAATTAGTTCCACATGCTAATTATGCAGTGCAATACAAATTTATATGACTTTAACTAGTTTTGCATTTCTTGCCTTGCAATTCTTATAAATAACTTCTTGTACTATAGCAAAAAAAATCTGCTAAACAGTCTTAGAAATAGTGCATATTTGTATGCACCTCTGATACTCCTTTAGCATTCACAAACCTTTTTTTTTTTACACTTCTCTTAATAAAGAAAGCTTTCCACATCTCAGCCTAACTGTTCCCTAAACATCTTCTCATTCTCTTATCACCTTGCTGAAATATAGGGCAGACAGAAATAAAAACAAGAATTCAAGGAGGAAATAATGAGATACAATAGATTTCTGTTTGGTATTTTAACACCTGAATAATGTTTTCACCTCAGATGTGGAGGAATGGGATATAAACACCCTAAAATTGCTTATGTGAGTGATGCTCATGCACACTGAGCTACACCTGAGGTAACTTTACCTGGCAGCACAAGATCCCACAGGGGATCCACATACTAGTATTCACCCAGAACCAGGGTGAATACCTGGGGTGGGAGCCCCTTCTGAGCCCCCTACCACTGTACACACCCATGCAGGCTGCACTTGCTGCAGAAACTGCAATAATTATTGGCCAAGAAACACTCCTTCCCTACTTATGCATGTGTTTGCCTGACTTGGACACCTTCTACTCATAATGAAGGACTTGCACTAAGCAGAATAAAGAAAACTGTTTACTGAACTGCCTCTTAGAATGCCATGGGATCCTCCAACTGGAGAGCACCATTATGAACATGTTCACTGCTTTCTGTTTCAGAACGCTGTATGATTCAGATCATCAATATCTACTTCAACAGATGTCCCAGGATAAGACACACCAGTGACAGCACTTTTAAAACTGAACTTGGTTAAACAGACTAGTAGAAATATTCAAGTACTGCTTTTTTCCTTTTATGGAAAAAATACACATATATGTATTCATCCATATATGTATGTGTAGTAATTTGTAGGACAGGGGTTTTATGTTCCTTTATGAAATTTTGACACTTAGGTAAATAATATGATCTCATTAAATAATTTAATGCAGTTTATTTCTGATAAAGGAGGAGTAGAGGCCACTCCACCCCTGCAGCACCATTCAAAGTTGCCTAAAGAAGTACAGGATCCTGAAGTGGGTGCAGAAATAAGCTCCTAGGTGCAGAACACCCCTCCTCACTCCTGCTACTGGTGCTACATTCTCCCATGCCACACTCGCTAACCCAATGTAATCTTTACAAAGCATTATCTCAAAACAGAGCTTTTTCCCACTCTCAGGATCTTCTTTTCCAGTTTGTGCCACAGGACAGCAATGATTCTCAGAAATGCAGTGATGTAAAGCATCTTCCTCAAGGGTCCTGCAGGCAGCCAAACATAAATTAGAACTCAGCTGCCTCACAGCAAAGCCAGCAGTCGGTGGCCACTCACATCATTTACAGTTTCACCTTCCCTATCCTCACACACCACCAAAAAGTACCCAGAAAACTAGAAATGGTGAGTAACAGCTTGTGCTTGCCCCTGTTCTCCATACCACCTCACCTTGACAGCAAAGCACACAGGCATGTGAGCAAACAACAAGAAGATGCATTTTATGTTCCAGAGCACAAAATGAAACAGCTCTGTGACAGCACAAGGCAGTTTTTAACTCTCCTAAATTAGCATCTCAATCAATAAGCAGGGAGCTGCCATGCACTGCAAAATAGAAAAGCAGATTGACAACACGCAACAGAAGCAATCTTAGAAGTTCACAGAAATAGAAGGATATTTCTTAAAAGTGTGGTTTCTCTCACACACCCAGTGCATGCATGCGAGTGATTTTATTTCTTCCCTTCCCCCAGTGCAACTTTAAAGTAAAAACATTAATTAGGGGAAAAAATGAGACTCTCTGATGGATGACAACACTGTAAATTTAGAACAAAGGCTGACAGAAATAACCTATTCCACTTGGCAATTACGGCACTTAACTATGGTGCAGTGTTGCTGCTACAGACACCTGTGAAATCTCAGCGCCGCGAGATGCAATTCCCAGCAGGGAGGACTGCAGATTTAGCAGACTAAGCAAAAGCCTGGTAGCCTGCAACTCCTAAATCTGCATCTGAGTGGGAATTGCTGGGTGATGCTGGACAAAAATTTACCTTACTTCCAGCTTTCTCATCTACAGTCTGCGTGAAGGAAACTGTGGGGATTACAGCAGGGCTGGTGAAACATTTTGGAGACGTTAGGATTTGCCACAAAACATCAGGTTTGATATTATGGCAGATGATGTTAAACATCATGCTTGTGGATCATAGAAATGTAGAAGGACATTCAAAGTTAAGGGGTTTACAGGATTTTCCCTAGTTTTCTATTTGATGAGCAGTCTCTCTCTGCATTAAATACAGTAAGGGTGCCTTACAGAAAAGCGAGCAGTTTTAACATGGTTGCCTGCTGTAATAACCTTTTTTATTATTAATATGAGCTTTGAGGAGAGATTAAATAAAAGAGTCACATATTTGATTTTCTTGCATTACAAGCACCTAGCTCAAATCACCACTCAGGATTTCCAGTATGAGGCAGTTTGTGCTTTGCAGAGATAAGAATTAAAAAAAAAAAAAAAAAAAAAGAAAGAAAGAAAAAAAAGAAAAGAAAAAAAGAAGATTAAAAAAATGGAAACATTTCTGTTAAGGTCTAATTATTTGTCTCCCTGCAAACAACAAATCCACAAATGCCTCTCATTTTCTGAAGCCAACTTCCCCTCCTGAGTGCTTGCCTGTTCTTTATCATCCCCTCCTAGACACCTCCGCCCTCCCCCCGACTCCTCTGGAGCAGTATTGACGGTGCACATTGATTCTCTCTGCAGATATAATAGTTCTTTCACTGCTGCTGCTTATAATTATAGCAATGTGTGTCACTCAGTAATAAGACATTCAATTATTCTTGGCCCCGTGAAGTGTAACCCTTCAACTCACGAGACCAAAATTGAGGAGCATCAGGCCCCCCCCCCCCCAAACATTATTCTGTTCTAGTTTTCTTCTTTTTTTTTTTTTTTAACTTTGCCTTGCAATTCCGATCCTCAGTGGCCACTTGAAACTGCAGGAGTTTCACTGCAAGGAACTGGCTGCCAAGCTAACACAATCAGTCCCCTCAGCAAAAAGAAGGAAAAAAAAAATCTCTTTTCCCCATTAAATACATTTCCATCCCTCTGCATCATAACAGTGCCAGCTAATTTTAAAGAAACAAAGTTGTCCCAGAGTTTGACACGAAATGGGGGGGACAAATTAACAATGACGTAACAGCATTGGCAAGAGAGAATTTTAAAAGCGATATGAACAATCTTTAATCTTTTATCGACAGATTTCCTCTAGGAGACTTCTTTCTGAAAGGCAAAAATCACTGCGCCGTCCCTGCTAAAATCTCTTAAAATAAAAAGAATTAACTGAAGCTTACCTGTACTGGAATGTCATATTTGTAATTTTTATCTTTATTTCCTCTCCGTGGCGAATTTCTCCAGTCATTTCAAAGAGTTTGTTAGCCATTTTCTCATAAACTTTGGCATTCCTTTTAGTTTGTTTCAGCTCATCAAAAAATTCTTCCCAAACCAGCATTAAACCTCTCATTTCTGCATCAGTCCAGTTTCTGGCCCTCCTGTGTTTCTCAGTCTGAGAAGAGACAATGTAACTGGGAATTTCTGCTGCAGCCATTGCTGACTGACCTAAAAGGGTTTTAAAAGAGGACACTTAATATAGATTGAGTTTTTAGTTTAGGTTTTTTGTAGTGCAAGACATGCATATGTGGATAAAGAATTTGAATGACAACAGAACATATGAAACCTTTTTGCAACAGCTTGAAGCTTGAGTGCACAAAATGGGGCCTACATCTGACAGGCAGGAATTTAGTTAAAAGCTTTTAAACAGAGAAACGTCATTTTGATGTCACGTTTCCATAGCAACAGAGCAACTGCATAAGCTACAACAACAAAAACCTTTTAACTGAAAGCCAAAGAATCAGGACAAAGTTGACAGGCCATCAATATTAAAGCTTTTAAACACTTTAGGTTTAACAAAAAAAAAAGATCTATGCAGCCTTTGAGAAGCTACTTTTAAGTTTCTACTTCTTTTTTAGCTTTCCCTTACCTTTTAGGCAGACAATCTGCTAGCAGGGGGTCATGGTCGCCTGAACGAGCTTTTAAGTTGTGCCTTGACAGACTCTCTAGGAGGTTGCAAGGACTGAGGCCATGTACACAAAAAAAAAAAAAAAAAAAAAGCTTTTTTTTTGCAAAGATATTCTGCAAAAAGAATCAGCCAGCTTTATGAAAACTATACATCTCTAAGCTAATAAATGTTTAAGCAGGCAGGCTCATTAAAAAGGAGCCTGCATCTGGGCTTTAGAACATGCAAAAAATAGTATTTAAGTGTTTATATAGAGAGAAATATATATAAATTTTCAATATAAAGCCACTTTTTTTTTTCCCCTGAGATGTTTTGCTGCTGATAAGCACACACTGCAGTCCTGTCAGTATGAATTTGCCTTTGTAGGTATGTATTACTGTATGTGTATTTTGTATTCCTAGTAATTTAGATGCTATTTATGCAGCCTGTGTTCTGCCTTAGGACTGCAGCAGAAGCATTTCACCTGCTTTATGGGCAACCTAAAAGGATTATTCAACGAGTTAAAAAAAGGCTGTGAGATGCTTAGAACTGTGAATAAATTGCTTTGCTGTAAAACAAGCATTTTGAGCTGGTTTTTATATAGGGCTAAATTGTGCCAGCAGTTATATCAGAGAAGCAGGGCATATTCATTGTATTAAACACTGCAATGCAAGCAGTGGGCCAAATCCTGCCCCACTTACACTCCTGCAGTCTGACAATAATCTTCCACAAAAGACTGAGATGCAGGAACTGCATTAATTCCAGCTTACGACCAGCTGAATAGAGAGATGTTCATTTCCTACAGTCCCAATAGAATTGTGTTATGTAAAATATAAATAAATAATCCACGGACCTTTCTTATTATTATTTTTGTGTTTCAGCATGGAACAGCAGTAACGACCTGACTGCAGGGCATTTCCTGAAGATTAATGGCAGGCAGGGGTTAATGGCCTGAGGCTCACCCAGTCAGTCGTTAATCCCCAGGAAATGTTCCCTGCCTCAATCCTTAATGCTTAAGTATCCTATAAATTGTAAGTCTTCTCATAACCACATCCTTGATCTTAACAATAGTTAAAAAATGCAGAGCTTGGTTTGCATCCTGGAGATGGCAAAGAGAGCACATAATGTTCCTGAAAGGTACACTAGTGACATTTGTGGGACCACTGCCTTCTTTCTATTTTATTTATTCTACTGCATATTACAAAAGGCACAACAGCATACCACAGAACAAGGTGGGGGTATGAGGGGGTAGAATTACATGTACTTTACATAGGAACTTCCACTGATCCAACCCTGAACATGTCTCTGTCAGAAATATACCTGCTGAGTCACTGCCTTCCTAAGGGAAAAAATAAAAAGGAGAGAAATAAAGAAAAAATCCCCTAGCTTCCAAATAGCTGCCTTTAACTACTAATATGACAGCCTAGCAACTATTACCTTTAAAAATGTGTAAATAGCAGCATATGTTGTGATGATGATCTTGCATGGTTTGTCTCTTGGGTGGCCAGCTGGGAGACGTCACATGATCAGGGGACAGATGGTGGTCAGAAGAGGATCAGCTGATGACACATTCATTTTATTAATTTATTGTTTTGTTTTGAAATTCCCGTCACTTAACCTTGGGCTTCAGGCAGCTCTTTCCATAAAACCACAGCCTGGGCTGCCTGTGGTCACAGCCACTGCCTGGGCATCACCAGGACAAGTTTAAGGAAGGAGCACAGAGTCCAGAAGGAAAAACCATGGCTCTGGGTCTGATTTGGAGTTAACACACACTGCTGTAAAGCCAGGCTTGCTTTTCAACCTTTAATCATCCATTAGAGGTTTGTTTTTCTCCCTCAGACTTTAAACCAGCTCTGTTGTGAAAATGCTGATTAACACCGCTGAAACCCACAGCATGATACACACAACTTGTCAAACCCAAAAGATATGTGTGGTCTCTGCTTTAAGGATATTTTTAATCCAGTTTCAAGTACAACAACGAGGACAGGGTGGGTGAAAACCTTTCCAGATGCACCAAGTTTTTTCTGTCTTAGTCCACAGTTTTCCTTCCCCGCTCCATCCACATGTGCCTGGCATATGTGCAGCTGCTCCTTGGGCTCCGTGCTGGCCCCCAGACCCCAGGATCCTGCAGAAGGGGGGCGATTGCTTCCCTGTGAAATTCACATCTCAACTTTTCTATATGCTGTTTTCTATTAGTGTACTTGACAGACTGATATAGCGGTATAGTGCTATTGAACATCTGTTAAATAAATGAAATGCTTTCTAATAATACCTCCCTTATTCCCCTCCTCTCAGCACCTGAAGGGGATCTGAGTTTCAAGGACTCAGGTTCTACCCTCTCCTCTGAAAAAGTCATTGATAATAATTATGGAGACCCCACATTGCCTCCTCTGCCTCACCAAAGCCCACGTGCCAAGTGGTTGACAAAGTGACTCTTTTCCTGGGTCTGTGGGTCTGAGAGCGAGAGAAGATTTTTTTATCCCCAAATAAGTTTTCCTATGTGGGTCTGAGAGCGAGAGAAGATTTTTTTATCACCAAATAATTCCTGCAGTCTTCACCAGAGACAGGGGAGGGGAAATACACCTCTCCAGGCTGACTCTGCTGGTGTTCTGCAGATATGTGCAGTCCCAATGCATCACTAAGCCTTTGTCCTGGTCCCTGAGTTGGGACAAACAGCTAAGACAGGAGCAGCAAATCTTTTAGGGGAAGAGCAGCTCTGTGTCAGCAAGAGCAGTCCCTGCCCACGATGAGGGCACTGGGAGGAGAAGCTCTATTAGAATTCGGCTGCTTCTTGCCCCTCTCCAGTTAGAGGCCAGTCGAGATTTGTCACCTACCTCAAAGACTGGCTGGTCACAAACCCAGAATAACTGCAGCTCTGCCAGGCTGAAGGCACTGACACCCTTCCTGCTCTCCCCTCTAACACCTGATGGCAGAGTCCCCCAGCACCAGCTTCCTCCACATCGAGGACCAGCCTGGCACCAAGCACCACGCAAGCAACTGCAGCTGCAACTGTTCTCATCAATTAAATAAGGATATTAAAGTCTTGGAAACCACTGACATACAAAACTGAGCTATTGAGTACACCTTTGTACATGATTTCCCTCTGTAGGGGAAAGCTCTTCTCCTCCACTCTCCTGCTCACCCAGGTCCCTCCTCTGATGGGCAGTGACAAGTTCAGAAGATATTCTTGTGAACACCTCACTGTGCTGGAGTATCTCACTTGTGCCTTTCCTTTCAATGCACACCAGCTCAGAGGAACATGAATTTAATGATCCTCTTGCAAATCTGTTCTTCATATCATCTGCCTAAACACTCTACCTTTTTTGCAATCATTATATATATCAGCTTGAATAATAGTTCTCACAGCTGTTCCACCTTTCATGGTGATCTCTAAAGATAACAAACCTCAAACAGGGTAGAAGGGTTTATAATTTGCAGCTGTGGATCTAATGAAGTTCCCCTATAAATGCTGCTCCCACAGAGTTTAGACAACTCCATTAATCCTTACATATCTGTTGACTAAACCTCAGGTGATCTGTGCTAACTGACTGTGTATACAGCCTTCAGCTTTGCAAGGGTGGGCTAATGCATGCCAAATAAAACTTCCTTCAGCCAAGTTTTAGGGAATGGTGTTTTCCCCTGTGCCTGCAGGGCAATAACGGCTCCAGTCACTCAAACACCAGAGCCCAGCCCACAAACTGAGCCATTACACCGGGATTACAGCAGAGCATGTCCAGTCCTGCTCATGGGGACTGTGGTAGAAGTCAGGCAGAAACCTCTGTGCAAATCAGAATTTATTTATTTATTTATTTATAAAACACAAGAGATTTCTCCAACTTCTCCTAAATGTACTGCTGTGTCTGAAATCCCCATGGGAACTGTCTACAGGGATGCTGACACACAGGTCACTGCCTATAGGGATTTTTAGAAATGGAAGAACACTAGCTTTGGTTCAGGAGACTCTTGATGCCAATTGGCAGCAAACACCAGTGACACCAGGAGGAGGAGTTTCCTGCTGAAGGAGCATCACCTCTCCAGACACAGGTCCAACTCTACAACACATGGGTACCTCAGTAGACTATTTATAATGTCTTAATTACATAAAAATACTGAAAAACAAATAAAACCCACCAATCATCCAAAGCTGCTTTCACACTTTGTGTTTGGGGCAAGCTGTTAAAAGCAAGGTTGTCCAAAGCACAGGCTGGTCACTGCTCTTTGCAATCCTCTGGTCTGGCCCACCAGGAGCTTAACACTTGTGGGTAATAACAAATCTTGGAACTGGATAGTGACTGCAGAGCACATGTTCATTCTCTGGGAATTTTGAGTAGACACACCTTCATAATTCTGCTTAAAAGGGTGCAGGACTGCGTACATATTTGACTAAAAGCATTTGGAGTTTGCATTGCAGGGGGATACTATTTGTAAGCTCAAAAAGGCTGCATGCGTTGGGAGGCTGCCTCCTGCCCCACATTTTGCTATCCACTGGGCTAGAAGGCCCACTTTCTAAGGTCTTATAAAGAATTATGGGGTTTGCATCTCTGACTGCTGCCTACTGCAATTTGCAAAGATGATTAAATGCAATGCCAGTACAGACAGGCTGGGGAATGAGACAGTGGAGAGCAGCAACTGTGAAAAAGGATCTGGGAGTCCTGGTCCATGGCAAAAGCTGAATGTGAGTCAGCAGTGCCCTGGCAGACAGGAGA